ACCCCCTCCCCCGTACCCCTACCCAACCGCTCAGCACTGGGCCCAATGGAGTAGTGACAAAGCTACAAAAACCCAGAATTGAAAATGTATAGTATTTGAGAAACTCAGCCCCTTTAAATAATTAAACACCGAGCAATAAATTAGTTCAATCCAAAAAAAAAAGGTGTTAACCCAGCTATCATTTAAGTTGAGTACTGCAGTTCCAGCCCCCCTTATATGCAATTTCTGGCTCCGCCATTGCAATGAACCGCCGTATGGCCTCAAATGCCCGGTGTCATTTTATGACAACCCAGGCCAATGTCAAAAAGAACGGCGCATGTATTAAATGGCAATACCTCAATGCATCATTTTTTGGGTGCATACTTCAATGGGTCATTCAAATAACCACATTATAGGCATGGAGATTAAAACAAAACACGAATCTTTAGATTCTAATTACAGCAGTAAACATCACATATTCATAAAAACAAACACGATTAATCAAACGACCAAGTTTATATAATCAATTGATCATCAAAACACCTAACAAAGTAACAAATCAAAACCCCTAAAATCAAGAAATGAGAAATTTCTCACACAAGTAGGTATACACACTTGTAATCAAGTCTTACACAGTACAAGTATTGCATCACAGGGGAACCCCCTCCTTCCCTTCTGCTACAAATTCTTGCAGATAGCAAAAAACCAAAAATAAAAACCCTAAATCTGAACAAGGAGTTAAACCTTTACTAGGCATCTCTAGAAAGGATCAAAAGTAGCAAAACCTTAAAATTTTGATCAGGCAACTACAGCATGTGTGCTGATAGTATGAAGCAATTAGGGATAGGAAAGTTATGATATTGAACGAGGAAAGAAGACAGAGATTAGGGGGGGTACCCGGCGGACAATAGGAGCTGGGCAAAGTGTGTAGTTGAGATTAGAAGTGTAGAACTGTAGGGTGTGTTTGGTAGGAAGGGGGAGAAAAGCAAGAATTAGGATTATAATTCCTCCGTTTATGCTTCAAAAATCAAAATATATTCCTCTTTTGGAAAAACCCTTCCCATTTGATTTAGAGACAAAAATAAGGAAGTGTTAAATTATAGTTGATTTCCAATTTTGCTCCTAATATGATGAGTAAAAGTAAGATGTGATGAATAGATTATTAGAGAAAAAGTATGATGTGATAGGTAGAATATGAAAAAGTAAGGGTAAAAGTGGTTTTTTAATAGAAAGGGGAAGTGTTTTGTTGGAAGTGGAAAAAATGAAAGAGGAAGTATTTTTGAGAACGGAGGAAGTATGTGCTAGTGCGACTTAAAGCGTTAGTAAAAAAACAAAAAATTACTCCTAGGTACCTCTTATTTTGCACTTAGAACTGTCAGGTCCTATCAATTACTCCTTCCGTCCCCCTAAGATGTTCTCATTTTGATTTTTGGTGGTTTTTAAGGAGAATTGAAAAAAGGTAAAAGTTTACCATAATACCCTTAATGAAAATGGGTGGAGTGTATTAAATGAGGTGAGTGAGGTGTAATAAATAAAGTAAGTGAGGTAGTTGTGGTATTTTAATTGTTAAAAAATGAAATGAGAAGATCTATTGTGGACAAAGAAAAAGGGCTATTGGGAAGATCTATGGGGAACGGAGGGATATAAAAATGTATTGTGAGGCCCCTTAAGTTATCTAGAAATTGACTGTGGGGTACATTCCGTCAAACCAACCGTGAATGCCCGACTCTGCTACCTTCCGTAATAACAACCCCAGAAATTCCAAATTTAACCCTCACTTCTCTTCTTCAAGTATCCGAATGCAGCAGAGGCGTAGAAATAAGCAATTAGGGTTATTTGCTAAGAACGAGGTGTGAATCAAACAAGAGGTAAGAAGCTTCTTGTTTTGTTCTTCAGGCATTGCAAAGCCTTGAAATTTATACGTCTTTGGCTTTGTACTGTTTTGTTTCTACAAGTTTTGATGAATTTGGGGTGGTCTGTATTGGTTCTTTACGCAGTGTCCAGGTTGAAATGAATTTGTTTTTCCTCACTAATGGCTGAAATAGGTATGTTTTGAGTAATTGGTTTGCTAAACTAATTTGCTGAGTTATTGTTTACAATTAGAGAAATTGAATGTGTAATTGTTTACATTTTGACAAATTTGTTAAGTAATTCTTTTCTTTTCCTCTGTCGGGTTGCTCTTCTTAACTAATTACTTCAGATTTGTGTTATTTTATACTTCAGATTTTTGTTTATAACGTCTATATTTTTTGTATAGTTTTGGAAGCCCCTCGGTCACCTCGTCAAGAAGAGTTTGTGATGATGGTAAATGCTTTGAAGTGCCTACGTGTAGGTGCGGCAAAGACATAAAATTTCTTACATCGTGGACAAAAAAATCCCGATAGAAGATTCTGGACGTGCGCCGGAAATGTGGGTGAATTTTAATTTCTTTTGACATTGCAGTGTTGGTTTTTTTATTTAACTAATGTATGTTTCTGTTGAATCGGGTACCCGTACATGTAAAAGTTGGAATTGAATCGACCCTGAAATATGCAACTGTGCTAAGAAGATCATTCTCGGGCTTCTAGATAAGATCAATGAAAAAGACTAAGGAGATAGAGCTTCCAAAGTGGCTGTATCACTTATCCAGTTTATGTGTTGTGTATGTAAACCAACAGAGTGTGTCGTTTATGTAAACCCAATTTATGTTTTTTTTGTGCTAAAGAACAAGAACTGTAGCATCTTTGTTCAGGACAGTAAAGAACAATGACTGTTAAAAAAATTAATATTCTTTTACGCTAAATGCTTGGACGATTGAGAAAAATATCTCAAACTCAAGAAATCAATACACCATGACTAGATAAATGAAAAAAGAAACAGATTAAGAAGAATAACAACAAACTCAGGTTCCTATTATAACAACCTTCATTAAAATCACACACACATATGGTATAATTTAAACAAATTTAAACAATCAAAACTTCAGTTTCATGTTCGGTAAAATTGAGTCTGAAGAAGATGAGGAACAGAAATGAATTTATAAATTCCACTGGTTTAGTCATAATTTTGGTAAAACTAGACTCGTACCCGTGCGATGCACGGACTGTAAAATTATTTATATTTAGTCTTGGTTTAGAATAACATAAAATGATACTCCAAATCAAAAGATTTCAAATTTTATTAGAATTACCCAAAATAATGTTCAGTACAAAAGAATTGTAGTCGATATGCAGTGTTATAAGTTTTGGAACACTTCTTTATAAACTACGTTCGTAGTTTGGTTTGTTGACGGAATGTCTTTATTGCAAATCAATATCTTTAACCCCTCGCGACTTGTAACACGTGAAATTGCAACATAGAATTGACCATGACTGAATAACGATTTCTTGAGTAGCAATCCAACATGCGACAAAGATTAGCCTTAAATTTTGTTAATTGTCATTGTGTATGAAGTCATGATTGGGAATTGTTTCCTTTAAAATCTTAAAGGAATCATTGCATTTGATGGTGTGAGCGACAACCGTGGGATAACAACTTCTTGGCCGTCATTTTTTCATGTCATCACTGTGCCTTGAATAAGATGATTGCCAAGTCAAATTACTATTAATCTTGTGCCATTGCACAGACCTGATGATTGATCAATATTTCTCAACAACATAATGGCTGTTCCAACCTTCAACTTCAGTTCATGATTTGGGACACCAAATGCTGGTATGTTGTTCAAGATTTCTAGAGAATGTAAGAATATGTATTTAATACAATTATAAAAGACCATGTAGGTAATTAAAACTTATTGCATACTAATTTAGAAAATTACTTAATTAGTGAAAACTCTTTTGAGAATTTATCCTTAATTGTAGTACTCCTAAAATCAAACATTATACAGATTAAATATCCAAATACTTTGCAAGTGCTTTGTATGAAACATAAAATTAGTCAAATGTTTTAGATATTCTGTAGTAAAAGAATTCTCAACCTTAAAAAAATATAGTAAAAGAAAAGTAAAATAGTCACACAGTACATTTAAGTCATCAATGTGTGTCTTAAATACATTTTTTTTCAAATAGATTAATGAATGAATAAACATTAGAATTTAGAATTAAATATAAACATGAAACATCATTAAATAATTAAAATACTCATAATATATACTCCGTAAGAGATAATCATATATACTACTATCTCCATCCCAACAAAACTTCTCTTTTTTACTTTTTAAAAAACTATGACAATCTTTACCCATAAACTATGAAAAAAAATATTTAATGGTTACATCATAAATGTAATTAAAATATAAATATACAATTTGATTTATCAAATTTTTACTCGTATTTGACAAAAAAATTAAACATGAGGCAATAAAAAAATAAGAGAGGATTACTTTTTAAAGAAAATGTTGTCATTCTCAAACATTTTAAAAATTAAGCAAGAGAGCTATAAGCGATACAATCTAATAAGCTTATAAAAGAAAAGGAGAAATACAAAGTATTACCCAAGCAATATTAGCAAGGATAAAAATTACGGAGAAAATCTAATAATATTTTAAAAAAGACTATGCGACTACACCCAAATTTGTGAAGAATCTCAATTGACTCCATTCCAACTCCAATATTTTGCTTTATCAAATCTTAGGTACTGAACAAAAACCCCACCAACCTTTTGTATGATTTGTTTAACCCACATTACTAAATATTAAAAAAAATCATTAAGAAGAAAAAAATTCAACAGAGTATTGACAAAGACGCTTGAAGAATGCCGATTGCTAGCTTCCAAAGTAAGAGCCCAGTCCATGTGAGTGATGCAGCACCACCATAGCTTGGAATAATTAGAAAATGAAAGTTGCACCAGAGGAGGTAGAAGCAATACTCATGTAATATGGAACAAAGATTCACAATTTGCTCTGCGATCTGCAGTGAAGTGGTGGCCTCAGTGAAGTGGTGGCCTAATTGAAGACAATTGTAATTCTCAAATTCTTGCCAAACCTCATCTAGAACGAAATGATCAACCCGACTCTTTTGGTATAATGACCATTGCAACAAACCAAAACTCAGAAATTCTAGAAAACAATTAAAATAAACAATTAAATTTGAAATATAAGCTAGAAAGCAAATAGAGAAATTAAAGGGTTATACCCCTCGCACCTGGACGGGAAGTGAACGGTTGTTTCAGATGCAGGTGACAATGACTTCAAGAGAACACCAAGTACAATTCGTAGCCCATTAGTGCTTAATGGAATCGTGCCACAATAAGGAAATGTTCCTAGAGTTTGTTAGCAAACGGTAATTTAGATATTATAAATTCTTTGGACAATTAACAAAAAAAAGTGATTTTCAAAAAATAGCTACAAACAATTGCTCTTATTCATAAAACTTGCACTGAACGTTAGGCAAAATAAGAGCAAAACAATCAATGAGAAATTAATGTTATGGACACCAATTGTTTTCTAGAATTCTAGGATGAAGTGGATAAATGCTTTCCCCTATTCTTCAACAATAGTTACTTCTAGATAAAACAATTAACCATTGAAACCAAAATATACTGATTTTCAATAACATTTCCTATTCTACAGTTATATCCAGAAGATCTCAATCTTGAGTTGCTATAATTGAAGCTTTTCAGATGTTTTTTCTTATCAATGATTGAGCAATTGCAATCAAAATAGCATTTACCAAATAGATTTCAAAAAAAAAACTAACACATTTATTGGGAGAACTCTATCCAAATCTTAAAATATTCAATAACATATGTACTTTAGACAGATTTATAGAGATATTCTAAAGATTAGATTATATCTCATTTTTTTTATCAAAAAGCATAGTGTAGAATATGGTTTAAGCTAAAACAAAGTCATGAAAGCATTGATGGCATAATAGAATAAAATCCTATAAATCATAAAATCTTACTAATAATGGATGGTAGTTGGAACGACACTTGAAAATATGCCTTCAACATAAAGAAAACAAACCACAAAATAAGTTGCCAAACATTAGCCTTCTTAAAAAATCACCCTTCTTTGTTTAGTATGCAGTGACCATCACTTGAAAAAAAGAGAGACATGAGGTGCCTCTGTTATATTAAAAAAAAGTGCATAAACTTTATCATAAAAATTGATATGATCAATGTGAATAGAGATCAAGCCAAGATTGGTGCTGAAATACCCACAACGATAGACAGGCAAGTCGGGCAACTCTATGAAGAGATTTTTAAACATACGACATCAGACCCATAACCTTTGAAGAAGACAAAGCAATGGCTCCTTCCATTTTCAAACTGGATATCACCTTTCTTAGAGAGAGCAAAAAAAGGTTATATATTTGGAGTATTGAAATTAGATAAACATAACTGAAATGAGAAGATAGTAGCACTATTACTCTAAGAGAAATGGTGATAATTGGCAATTGTACTTTCAAACACAATGCACAACTCAAGCACGCTAATACCTTGTTAGAAAAAAAAATTCTAAAAATGAGGCATCAGCTCTCCCAGTTTTCACACCTGCACTCACAAAACTTATTCATCAATTGTTTCTTAAAAAGATTAATCTCAAAGAGATAAAAAAAGGTATGGGATTGGACTCACCTTGAAGGGCAATATTAGAAATAGACCAAACTCTCTCAATGTCTCCCCCTTGGTTTGTGCGATATCATTATTCATAACAATTTATACTAATTTTATACAAAACAACAAAAACAACCACCAAGTGAAATTAAAAACAAAATTGAATGAGATTTTTTTAAAAAAAATAAGAAATCAGATAAATAAAAAATGGGTAGGTGAAAAACTTTTGAATTCAAGAAAAAAATGGATAAAATTAAAATTATAGTCTCATGAGTTTTACCTGATCTTCGTTACCACCCGATGCAATTCCTCTCTCATAAAGAGACCACTTCAAGGCACGCACCTGAAATTCTTAGTTATAAGAAGGTGAGGTTCAAACTATGCAAAGGATTAAAACTTATCTATGGTTTTGAGAAGCCCAGATTTGGCCATTAACCAAATGGTTTACTCAAAATGGTAAATACTATGCAATGGCATAAAGAAAGGTCAAACTTTGATAATGCAAATCGCAAGCAGTAAATTACAAATTACAATGGATTAAGTTGTGTGCGTGTCAAACCTTTGACTGTGAAAATGAATCAATTAATATTCCTGATACTGGACTGGAATGAGGCTGGTACAAATAAATCCCATCTCCATCCTATTTGGCATCCGCGTTCCAGAACCAATATTTCCAATCTTATTTCCTGCAACAACCATTCTCATCCCTGTCGTAGGGATAAACTCCACATTTAGTATTCTTCCTAGAACAACCCGAGCCATATTTTCTGGTTCCAATCTCAATGAATCATTATCTATTGAACACAGATGTTCTCTCTTCTTCTCGTGTTCACAAACAATAAGTTCTTAATCAGCACACTCATCTAGCTGTACTTTTCTTGATAATCATGGATTTTAACATGAAAAATAGATTCAAATGATGAGTATTTCTCCCTCCAGATTCCATTTTTGGTGGTGTGTTTTGCCCTATGCTCATTCCATTAGAAGTAGCATCAAATGCAGTTCTTGTCGTTTGTTTGTCCTTACATTTTAAAAAAACACAAAGAAGAAGGGGGATAACAAAACAAACCATTCTCTTCAACTGAAAGCCCGCTCTGTCGTTCTGAATTAGTATGAGAACTGCTACCCATCACTCCTTCGGCTGCCACAAAAGGAAGGGAACAAAATGGAACACATCAATACCGGCCAAATCAAATAATTCTAATAATGATCAAACACATTACCAAGAGTTTAAAGTTTGCATCTTTTGTTCAAACAACACATCAAACACATTCTATCTCAATGAACACCAAAAATCTAAAAAACAATATTTGCGAATAAATTTCAAGGCAACTTTGTAGAAATAGAGATTTTATTACTTTGTAAATCAAAACACCAAAAAAACATTAAATGGAGATGAAGAAAGTGAGATATTGAAATAAAGATTTTTTACCCATGCTTCTCTATATACCGTACAACCATGCTTCAGCCGAATTTTTTTCTGCACAATATCTCAGATCTAAAATACTTACCCGACCAAAAAAAATTGCAATGATTGAAGCTGCAGAATATAAAAGATTAAGCAATTGAAGCCGCGTAGAAAACAATTTGTAAAAAATATTCCATCACAAAAACTCACATAGTTGAGCTTTTGACTTCTCTTTCATTGCATACCTCTTCCGAGTTCTAATGGAAGGAGCATTGGAGCAGCTATTTTGATATATCTATTGCACGAAGCCACGAACTGATGCACTCTAGCTGCAATTTGAGGGCAAAGCCCCTCCGTGCCGCCTTGATCCAGCCAGCCTAGGGTAGAAGCTTACATATTACATTAAAGTTTCATCAAATTGAGTTCTCTTTGAATCCAATGATCCTCCTTCAATCTTCAGGAAAAGCTTACATTTTACATCAAATTTTAATAATTGTGAAGAAAAGACTTCAAGAAAAGCTTACTTCGAGTAAATGAGCCCTTATCATTGGCATTGGTAGAAAATTTGTGAGCCACCACAACGTTCAGAAGAAGCAATGACTTCCTTAGCTTTGGCCCTCTAAACTGAAAATTATTTTGTTACTCAGTGGTTAGGAAGTGAGCATGACCAAGTGAATGAAAACATAACTAAATGAAATAATCAAGTAGAATGAAATAAATTACTATGAAACAGCCCTTAGAGTCTTTGTGCCATTATATATTTACTAACAAACTTTAATCTCAAAATTTTAATTCCTGTTGTAAATTTTTTACAGATCCCACCACCACCATTCTATTAATTAATGTATGTACATATATAGATGTTACTCCCAAAAAATTAAAGACCCTTGCCAATAATATTTTTATTATAAAAAACAAATTGCTAGATTAAAAGAGTAAAGAAGAGGAAAAAACAGAGTAAAATATAATAATATATACCTTGAAGCTGCAAAGAGGTGTCCATGGCCAGTCAGTGAGGATCCTATCCAGAGAGCAATTAGAATTCTATTTACATTTTAGCTACTGCAATTTTTTTGTTTCATGGTTTCCTGTTCCCACCATCATCATTGAAAGATATTTTGAAATGAGCACATTTTAGAATAAGATTATCAAAGCATTTAATTACATGAACAAAAGGAGTCTGAAAAGGAAATGAGCTCTTTCAGAAGAAAATGAACAATTGTTAGCAAAAAATACAAAAAATGACACCAAATCTATAAACTGTGTAATTCCCATCCGCTTTCAACTCAGTTGTACCAAATTACCGAAAAAATGCAACAATAAAAAAACAGAGAAATTGAGATATGAAATTGTGAAATGGAAGCCATAGATTTAGGGTTTCGAGAAGCAAAGCAAATACCTTGAAGCTGTCAAAACCTGGAACCCTAGATCTTACGGCAGCGTGGCTACTTACTCGCGGCGGTATGCTCTCTCTCCCGCGACGGCGATTGTCGACCTCCAACTTGAGAAGTGAGACAGCGCACGTCTGATCAAAGACGGTGAAGCCGGCTGTGAAGAAAGAGAAGAAATAACAGGTGGACTTCAAGAAAAGCTTTCTGACTCCACACGCTGTCTCTCTCTCTACATGTGTACGCAGGAAGCTTCTATCTTATCAGATGTTATGTGGTCTAAATCTCACCTGTACTGTATCATTTAAAATGGGCGGGAACACTGTAGAAAAACATATCCTACCATTATATATATATATAGTAAGATTGAGTCTGAAGAAGATGAAGAACAGAAATGAATTTATAAATTCCACTGGTTTAGTCATAATTTTTTATACTTAATTACTTACCATTGAGAAACTGTACGAGAAAGTTAACCGCAGCTTTCTTGCTTATGCGGAAGTTAAAGTGAGAAGAAGATCAAGTCAACACACGTAATATATCTCTATTTGGAGTAAACAAGGGGTATAACAGGTAATTTGCAGCCTCTAACAGTTGGTTTGACGGAATGTACCCCGCTAGTCAATTACTAGATAACTTAAGGGACCTCGCAGTACATTTTTAAAATTGATGGGACATGGTAGTTCTAAGCGCAAAATAAGTGGTACCTGGGAGTAATTATTTGGTAAAAAAAATCATATGAATACGGACTAAGCTATGTGTACCCCAACATTTATATACCATAATTTGTACATCGCAAGTTTTCACCAACATTTTGTATTGGTGTAAAACTAATTTTTGTTAACGCATCAACACTTTGTGTCCGTGTAATTTTTTTTTAACGCACCAACACTTGTATCGGTGTAAACCATCAAAATATTTGTGCATAAATGTGGTGTACAAATGAGGTACATTTTTTGGTGTAAGTGTAGCATGGTCTTATGAATACACATACGTAGACGCACACACATACATCTCAAGTTTTTTCTCTTTTAACTCTAAGTGTGTTTTACTTTATTTTAAGAAAAAAGAGTATATAGTTCATAGAGTATTAATACGAGCCTACTTTTTAAAAAACACAAAAATAAATTTATTTTTAACTCAGTGGCTTTAATGAAAAAGTTGAGACATAATGAAATGCATATGTTCTAATTTTTTCTTTGCTCGAAAGAGGAATTGAACTAGCTTCTCCTGTTGAAATATCACAAATTTGAGAATATATTTACAACATTTATACCATGGTTTGTACATCGCAAGACATAATGAAATGCATATGATTTACGTATCGTTCATTCATGTATGTATATGTTACTCACTTGTTCATTCTTAGTATTTTAATTGTTGATCAGTAGTCAAATAGTGCGAGAATTATCAAATCCTAACGCGCAAATTATGAAATCATATGGCGCACAATAACAAATCTTGGTTCACGACTTAAGAAACACTAGTGCGCCTTAGAGCGCCGCTGGCAGCCTGGCACATTGAGTTCGTCACTATGTGAAAACTGCGCGAATCCTAAAATGTTATGCCTAATTATGTTTTCTACTACTCCCGTTCCATTAAACCCTTCCTCTTTTGTTTTTTTGAATTTCCTAATACACTTTCACTTTATATTAAAAAATTACTTTTACCCTTACTTTTTTATATTCTACCTGTCACATCATACTTTTTCACTAATAACCAAACTAGCTATCACATCTTATTTTACACATCACATCAAGGACAAAATTGAAAAGTCAATCAAAATTACACTTTCCTTATTTTTGCACAAAGTCAAAAGTGGAAGGGTTTAAAGGAACGGAGGGAGTAACTTTTAACCTTATTCAACCACTTTTATTTGCTAGTTTGAATTGAAATTATTATCAATTTATTTTTTTTACATGTAAAAATAGAATTAAAATATCAACATTTCGAACGACGGCGAGTTTGACTTTTAACCTTGTTCCCAAAATGTATGCAATATTTTGAACGACTTGCAAAATATGATCCCTTTTAAAATCATTTTATTTACAGATTGGTAGATAAATAAAGAGTAAAAATTACACCGTTCAAAAATATATCAAAACTTTTACGGAATATAAAACAAGATGCGACAAGAATATTTTATGTTATCAAATAATCAACCAAAACAAGTAAACAAATGACACTATCGATAAGCATAAATAGTAATTGTTGCTTTGTTGCTTACATTTTAGAACGGAAGGGACATCACATTAACTCTATATATTTGCTTAAATTACTTTTAAAACGAGAAATGTCTAGGTTCGGTTTTCTAGAGTGATTTCTATCACTCAATGTGATATTACTTCCTCTGTCCCAGAATATTTATCTACTATCATTTTTACACACCATCCAATACACTTCTTTAATTCATTTTATCTTGTAATTTGTATATTAAAAAATTATAAAAATTATATATTAATAATCTATATGTTAAGACAAATTAAACAAGATCACACATGACTATATTTAGGCTTACACATTGAGAGAATTTGATGAGTCAAAGTGCTTAGATGAACAGTTCCAAAAGTCAAAAGTAGACAAATATAGCGGGACGGAGGTAGTACTATATTAGTGACACGTTAAGCTTTGAATCCTTTAATAAGGAGTGTTATTTAGGCTCTATTATTTCCGTTCGAATTTTAAAATTAGATATTAGAATAAATTGAAAGTAGGGAATACTTTAGATGGAGGGCTCACGTGTACCTGAAAGACTACTTATGGACTTTTAAAACTTGAAGAACCAATGATGCAGAACTTTTGAAACTTGAAGGACCAATCGTGCACAACTGATAAAATTGAAGGACCAATGGTGGATTTTAAATAGGAGTTGAAAAAAATAGAAGGAATTGAAAAATGTTGGAAAGGACAAAGTGTTAAAAATTTACACAACTAAGTACTTGTTCTTTGGGGCTTGAACTCTTAACATCCAGTTTCTTCCAGTTCCTTCTATCCAATTCGTTCTAGTTTCTTCCAGTTCCTTACAGTTTCTTCCAACTTTTCTCATTTTCTTCAAATTCTTTCTTGCAGTGCCATACGGAGTTAATAACTCCGTTTCTACTCGAATTATTTATTTCAACGGAGTAGTGAAATCAGTGTCATGTTACTTATTAAAAATTAAACCCATACGGAGTAGCTAACTCCGCTCCGGTCGGAATTAATTCCAGACGGAGTAGCCTTCTCCATCTCCCCATAAATATCCAAAATCATCTTCATTGATTATCTGATAAAATAAAATATTGTTGACACCTCTTATTTCGACAATTTTTTATGTAGTTTTTAAATATGTAGTATATTTTATTATTTATTCATATACTAATATTTAAATAAAATGAATTGAAAAAACTTGATATGTTGCATCGTTTTTAAAATGTGATAAACATTTAGAGACAAAGGAAGTAATAATAATAATAATAGTAATACTCCATAATAATAATAATAATAATAATAATAATAATAATAATAATAATAATAATAATAATAATAATAATAATAATAATAATAATAATAATACGGAGTAATAAAAAGTGGGGTAATATAGACGGAGTAGAATTCAAACCCCACCATGCCGCGTCCTAGAAGTAGGTGCTGAAAGTTGCAGAGAGAGCCATGAAATTCAGGACCAAAAGAAAAGAAAAAGGACAAGACCTCTTTTAGTGCAATGATGATATGGGCAAAAGCACGATCTCAAAGCATGAATGATTCGTCACTTAAAATTGATGAGGGGGAGAGAGTTCTACTCGTATACACTTCATATTTTTCTCCCCATTTTTTAGGGCTTAGTGTATTATATTGACACATATCAATATCATCCAACTAATTATTATCCTTCCTCCCTTAATAAACTTAGTTTTTTCTCTTTTGAGTTCAAAAGTCATTCTCCTTCCATCTACATACAATTTTTCTTTGTGTTATTTTGAACTTAATTTAGAGCTTCAAATTCAGCGACGAGTTTGAGAAAGAGTACGAGAAGCCGGAGAAAAGAAGCTTAATTAAGGAGAGAGAAGTATGAATATAAAATTTTATCCATATTCTTAACATAAACGTTAGCAAAGGACCATTCATGAAAAATGATATAAGAATTGGGGACTAAATAAGTAATATTTAATATTTAGAGACTAAATATGTAAAACGACCTATAACTGGGAACCTTTTATAGAATTTACTCTTTATAATTAGATTTAATTTATGATTAAAATATTACACAATATGACCAAAAAAGTCAAATTCTGAGATTCTTTTCAGGACATATGGGGTAATAAAGGTATTATGTGAACATCGGAACCCATAAAAAAATAGAAATGAAGTTTATTTATTTAGATGAGAGGTTCTATGGTCGACCTAAGATTCACATAGACCTTCTCACATATTTTTTTATATTTTAAAATACTTATTTCAACACTTAAAAACGCTTATTTAACCTATATGAATTAAGGCTATATGAATTAAGGTCTAGATCTTAAGTCAATAGAATAATTTGCCTATTTGAAGACAAAAAAATGTGCCCCTATTAATCTTGATAATGAAATACATCAAATACTCCGTATGACACTTGCATAATTCAAAGGGGTTTTCTCCCATGCCTCTCCAATACTATCTGACATGTGGACTATGTTTAAGGTTATGAAAGTTAATAATCTCAATTACCCAGAGTATGTTTTTGTAATTTGTAATTTATTTTTCATCCTTTTGTTGTTCTATTTTTATTAAGCTTACTTACATTGTTAAAAGAAAAATAACATAACCAAATTTTAATTTTTACTCCCTAATTTTTTTGAGTTTTTTTTATAGACAAGATAGTCCACACTTAAACTATATTTTACACGTTAGTTTTGAGTCTAGAGACAAGAATCTCACATCTACATTACGTAAGTGTGTTAAATGCACTGTTATTAATAAATTTAATTTTACTTATATGAATATTTAATTTATATTAGCATATGACTCGAAAAAATATTTTATACGGAGTAAATATTTTTAATTTAGTTTATATATATAAATTTTTTAATTTTATACCAAATTTTTAATAAATGGAATTAGAATTAATTAAGTTTAGTTAAATATCTTAAACCGGAATAGATCAAGTAAAAAAAGATGAAAGTGTTACGTGTATTAATTTTTGAAAAATAAGCTCAAAAAAAAAATCATAGACCAAAATAAACAGATACAAGAGGAGGAAAATTACAAAATTATGAAGGCATCCATGCCGTCTCAAATAAATTGGTGTCAAAGAAAATCACTATTTGAAGTTAGAGTTTATCGGCTTATCGGACTGCCGGCTTCTTGACACTCCTTGCATTTGTCAAACTGCGTAACGACTACCGGCTTCTTCTTTTGTAATTTACCACTGTGCTTTTGCATAAACTTACCGTGTTACCCATAATGATTTATTCATTTCAAATTTCAAAATAAAGTACCGAGTATATATATTAATAAATAAATTCAATTTATATAAAGTTTAAGATTGAAAACTCTTGAAGGAAATTAAACTGAAATTTTTTAAAGAAAAGTGAAAAATATGTAATTAATTTTTTTTCAAAAAAGAAAGTGGGTTGAGGTAAATTTCACCACACGACAGTAACGTACATGGAACACCAAGATAATTTCATGTACAAATGTTTCAACTCCCAACAACAAAGGCTAAAACAAATGGGACCAAAAAACTATTTTAATAAATTAAAATAAATCCCAAATTCTAATAATAAAACTGCAAGAAAACACCAAAAGAATAGTTTGGACACTAGCAAACACACAGCTTGGTAGACATGGAACATGGCATGTAATGCAGATGACACATCTTTTCAATTCAATTATTATTTTTGTTATTTTTCCCTTGGTAAAAAAAAAGATCTGAAAAAAAAAGAACATGGTTCTGAGCTTTTACTTTACACATGCACCATATATAATTATATAACAATAATTATATATGTGAAAAGGATATATATGATAAATATGGAGTATATAAAATTGCACACAGGAAGAAAAATAAAATCCCAGAAATTTATGAATAAATAAAAAGCAGTAAAAAAAGAAAAAAACTCCATGGATCACTCTTAGTTGAAATGTTGTTGCTCCAACCACGGCCAGAACCCGGTCTGGTCGTCGATGGAGCAAAACATGCTGGAAAGGCTTTCTTCCTTGACAGACTGGTGGTGCTGGTGGTGGTGCTGGTGGTGGTGGTGGAAGTCCGTGGGTGGCGGCGGCGGCCTGGACGAGTTGTGGAAGAGGTGGGCCGCCACCGCCGTGGCGGCTACGGGGCGGATGCCGCCGTTGGATGGTGGGAAGATGGGCCTGCAGGTGGTGGTGGTGGGGACACCACCACCATGTGGGTGGCTGTCAATGGCTGGAGTTGTTGTTGCTGTTGTTCTTGAGATGTCCAGCTTGATCTCTGAGCTGTTCTCACTCCTATTGCTGCATGATCCTTCTGTCTCTTTGTTTAGGTTTATTGATTCTGTTGGCTGTTGATCCCTGTTTTTCAGTGCCATTATCTGCCACCCATGCCATTTTTTTAATAAAATTACTTTTTATCACTTCACAAAAAAAAAGAAACTAAAAAAAAAAAGACAGTCCAGTGCATAAAAAGGGTATAATATAGGCAAATCTTACCCTGCATTTCTGCAAGAAGTTACTGGGGACTCGAACCCGTGACCATAGAGTCATACACTCACAAAATAATACTCCCTCCGTCCTAAAATTAACTTCTCGGTTTGACTTTTGTGGTCAAACTTTTTAAACTTTGACCGTATATTACAGAAAAAATACATTGAATTTTCATATAAATTTATTAGAAATAGATTCATTTTGAAACATAGTTTTGAAATATATAATTTTTATAAAATATATTTATATAAAAATTGAGATATTGATAGTCAAAGTGTCGCATTGGAGACCGTGAAAAGTCAAATGAGAAGTTAATTTTAGGACGGAGGGAGTAACACAAGTCCCAACTCATTTAATTATGAAAAAAATACGAAAAAAACCAAATTTTGTATCTTAACTTGCACATCAATGTATCACAGACGTATAGACAATCATTGTCTGTGCATGCACAAAAAATGGTTGTCAGTGTATCTGTGATACACTGGTCTGCATTTGGGTATAAAGTGTGGGGTACCCTAAGCCCAAGGGTACCTCAACAAAATATTGTAGTGGTGAATCATAGAGTACAAAGTGTAAGTGAATGAGGTGAAAAGTCTAATTGAAAGGACCTTTTCCTTGTGGTGTAGGTATCAAAAGTTTCACATGAAAGAGTTAGAAAAAAGAATTGTGAAAGTGTTTCCCACTAAAATTCTTTCACATATATAATCATAAAGTAATAAAAAAAGGTAGCAAAAGAATTCATTTTGCACACATATACATCACATGCATGATAACATGTCATTGATGGTTCAAATTGCAAAAAAGTTAGGATGAGAATGCACACATTACATTTATTGGGATAATATATGTTCCTAATTAATGTCAAATTTTATTTTCAAAAAATGTACAAGTCAACCATGGTTTCACATATAATTATTATGCTATGATGACAATAATCATGAGCAGTACAAGAATAACATAGTCAACACACACTATGTGACTTAATCCCACCTAACAATGGACTTTAAATATGTTTATATAAAACAATATGAAGCAAAAATATTCAACTCCTAGGAATTGAAGAGAAATCCAAGTCAACCAACTCTGCCCCCAAATCAAAAAATAAAAACTCCAACAATACAACTATTGATTTACTATATTACCCATTTATACTTACTGTATCTCTTTAGTTTCTAAATATGTAAATTTTAATTTTTTATAAAGATCAAAATAATAAAAAAAAAAGGAAGAAAAATACCTCAGAATGGAGCTTGTGGTTTTGGGCTTGGAGGGCATCATTTTCAGCCTTGACAGCATCAAACTGCCTCTTGAGGAGCTCAAAGTCTTTTTCCAGTTGCTTGGTCTTCCACCTAGCCCTCCTGTTCTGGAACCAGATGGCAATCTGCCTGGGCTGGAGCCCAAGTGCCCTGGCCAGCTGCATTTTCCTCTCAGGCTCAAGCTTGTTCCCCAGCTCAAAGTTCTTCTCCAGCGTCTTCACCTGCTCCATGTTCAGCCTCCTCTTCTTCTCCCCCGCCTGCGACCCGTCGTCCGACAGCTCCTCCTCCCCCTCGCAGTTCTGCCCCCCCGCCTCCACCCCCGAATACGACACCGATCTCTTCCCCAGAAATGATGCCACCCCTGCATGCCCCCATTTTCACCCATCAAAACCCGTCGTCAACAAACCAATCCAACCAAAAGCTCAAGAAAAAATCATCATAATCAAGAATTTCCTTGTTGTAAAAACACCCAAAACGTAACCAACAATACTCTATCATGAAAGTGGTGACAACAAGTTGAAATCTAGATGCATGAAACCCTACTTGTGAATAGATATATAGGTACAAAAACAAGTAGATCTTGGGAGAGGAGAAGAAATTAAAGAAGAAGAAGAAGAAGAAGAACTTACCATGGAAATCTTGAGGATTGCAAGAGGGGAGAAGGGGATTGAGGGAAGTGGAGGGTTGGTGGTCATCATGATCATGAGAAGTTTGGAGCATGAAATTTGTAGGGAAGAAAGCCATTTCAATGCAAGTCATGATAACCTAATTGAGATGTGATTCTTCTTCATGCTTATTAATTGCAGGAATTTATGAAGGGGATGATATGATGGATATTCAATTCATATATAATTAAGATGGATGGGTTCACAAGAGAATTTTGATTTGTTGTGCAAGGAAAGATGAGAGAGAGAGAAGAGAATATGGTTTATATCTCTTTTGAGTATATTTTTCTTTGAGTTAACATCAAAGAGAAGAGAGCATGATAGCTGTAATAGTTATAATATTATAATATTATTAATAAGAATTGTGTTGGATTGGAATAGAAGGAGAGGTTGTGAATGAATATATGGGTTCGATGCATCCATGATATAGATGTATTACTTATATACCATTTCAGCTTTTTGTAAAACAAAGCTTTTTTCTTTTTCCTTTTTTGAGAAAAAAAAAATACTCCCAAAAAAAAGAAAGAGCGTCGTGTTCTGTTTAAAAAATTAATGGCTCATACTCACCTTAACCCTTTGGCCCTGCATGCTCGCCGTTTGACAACAATAAATACTGTTACCAAGCGACGAAGACGAGGGGATTGGGCTAGGAGGGGGTAGGGAGCAGGGTTTAGAGAAGTTAGGAACCAATTTTTTTTCAAACGGAGTACCGTAAGGACTATAGTGGACACTGATGTCAAGCGAAGTCGATCAGTGTCATTTGACAAAGCAATCCACTTTCTGAATTTTGTTTGTTTGAAATGAGGCTCTTTTCATTTGGATGTTACGGGTAACTTTTAACTTTGAACTTCTTCCAACTCTTTGTTTTAATCCCTCCAAGTTTTTCTACTGTTTTAACTCCAAATTTATTTCAACTATGCATTAAGAATAAATAGGAAATTCTAGTTACCATCACACTGTTACTCGACGTTTGAGATTGACGATTGAGCAAATGTTTGGAAGTTTGAAGAAAGACCTTGTTTTGGAACAACGTTTTTGATTAGCGTTACTGTTTTGGATAATTTTAATGGTATAGATTAATTTTGAAAATGTTAACGCACTAAAGGATATCGTCGGATGAGTTTTTTCAAAACGCTAACTTCTAACGCTGATGCCAAACGAGACCAAAGTGTGGGAAATATTGCATCATATGACGGTGGTATGTAAGAAATTGATGGTTCATACTCCTTCTAACCTCTCGGTAAACCCCCTTTCCACGCTCCACTCCGAACCCACCGCCTCACCCACTTCAACTGCATCTCCCAAGTTTAGTTGACTTTGGAGTCAAAATTTTCGTCAAAGTCAATTAGACTTGGGAGATGCAATTGAAGGGGGTGGGGTGGTGGGTTTGGGGTGGGGTGAGAGGGTTTACCGGGGGTTAAGAATGTATGTAGGAATCGTCAATTTTACGAACGGAGTATCGTACGACTCCCGGGTCATCCCATGACAAAACCATGTCATGGAAACTGCCCTGTCTGTACTAGAGTAAATGCAAAATTAGAAAACAACACCAAAATTACACATTTTTTATTCTTAACTTTTTGGAAACACAAAAAGTTTATCAACAGACAATGGGAATAACTAATTCAATTTAGTAATGAACAATGTATGCTTAATTTTTTTTCTTGAAATAACTATTACTGGTGGCCATGTACGTACCATATACGGAGTATGCAACACAAAGAAATAAATAAAAGTTATAGCTCATATTATTTGATTAAATGACACAAACAAAGATTGAGTTGAGGGTTGGCATAATAATTAAGTGTGTACACCAGATATTTTTGGTGTACTGTAAATGTAACACTGTTTTTTTACAACCACACCAGTACAATTTTGATCAGCTCGTGATATATATTGGGTTTGGGTTTTGCTATGTGTTTTCAAATAGATGCACGTTACTTGTTCCCATCTTTGTACGGACTATTATTTACGTACTTACTATTAGCCTACACTTTTTTTCTTCTTATTAATTATTGGTGCTTTGGAAAATTCATTGTTAATGATTATTAAAAGTTAATATTGTCTTCAAGTACAAATTTACAGTATTTTTTACTGCTATATAATGTTTCTGTCTTAAAAAATATTTTTTCACTTCTTTGGTCAACTTTTTACACACTTTGACTATTATTTCTTCCGTCATAATTTAAATCGCATATTGCTGTTTACGAGGTTTGACTGAAGTATTTTCATTCAATTTATTTGAAAATTGGCATTGAATTAAAAAATAAAATTTATATATTTAAAAATTATATTAAAAATTCTACAAAACAAGTTGACACAAAACTATATTTCTCAAATGGGTAGTGAAAATGGGTAAGGAATGTAGTTAAAGTTTGACCATATGAATGGTAAACAAATACTTAAATTGGGACAGAGAGAATAATAAAGATGAAAAATGATTTTATATAAATAAATCTTATAAAAGTTTGATTTATCAAAATTACATTTTAAAATAAACTCAATAATTATATTAAATTTACATTTTAACGAAATATTTTTTCGTAATTTATCATAAAAATGTGTAGAAAATAGACCAAAACAATAAGAATGTGATTTTTTTGGGAAATACAATATATGTATCTAATTTAATCCCTTAAAAAAATAAAACTATTTCACTGACGTATTCGAGAAAATAGTATAGGAATAATAACTATTCTTGATGTAACTGAAATTGTAAAATTTTCTATTTTAGTTTTGGCTCAATGACAAAAAAGGGCAGTATGAGGCCATGCAGGTTTCTGCATTGCCAGTTGTCTTGAAATTTAAATTAGGAGGGCAATTTGATTCCCTATTAACAAATGGAGAAAGTAGTTTCATAAATTAAGATTCCAATTATCCTTTCCTTATCTTTTCTATTCCCTCCCTCCGTATAAGAATGTGACTTTAATTGGACTTTCTTGATTAAAATTTAGTAACTTCAAATAATATAATTATTATAACGCGAATTTAATATTCCATTCGTCCCTAAATATTTGCCACACTTGTATTCCCGAGGTAAAATATCATGTTTTTTCATTTCATTTTATTTATATATTGGTATAGAAATAAAAAATCCGTAAAATTTACATATCAAAAAATTACATGAAAAGTTCTTTGAAATAAGAGGTGTCAAAAATATTTTATTTTATCAAATAACCAATGAAAAAGTTGAAATAAACAAAAGTTCTCGCGACTGCTGAAAAAACAAATGTTATAAATATTTTGGGACGGAGGGAGTATCATTAAATACATACATTCTAAAACAAATTGTTAAATTTTAGTCATAGACAACTATACGTTGTGGTTTCAAAAGTTCAAATCATAATAAGATTCTGATATACAACGTAGATCATGTTCCCACAAATTGTACCATCATTGTAGTTTATAAAAAACTTTTCTAAAATTTACAATTCATTTGATATTCATACTTTAAAATAATGAAAAACATTATATCTCATTATATGGTCTATTTATATCTTTTAATAATGACGTTAATATATTTTCATAATGTAACAGGAATTGTGTAATGCACGAGTCTGATACTAGTATAAAGTTTAATTGTGTCAAAAGTAGATCAGACCTTGTACCATTCAAGACTAACAATCCTAACAAGCACTAATAGAAACATCTTTTCTGTTTCTCACCTTTCCTAGTGGGAATTAGTTCTACATTTTTCCTTTAAAAAATAAGAAAATATTGGCTTAAAAAAAGGAAAAATGCTACCTTCCGGATTTGAGCCACACACTTCTTTGGCATAATATTTGTCCAGTTTGATTTTTTTGAATCAAACTAAAGGTTGATTTTTTTAAAATCAAAATAGATAAATTTTAATTGTCAATTTAATAAAAAATGAATTGAATCTTAGTATGATATCATTAAAGTTGTATTGCAATGAACTATAAAAAAATATTTTATTGTGTTACGAAATAACGAGGATAATAAGAAAAAAATATTATTATTAATTACCTTCTTTATTCTATTATATTCTACTCATATTGTTACAATAATTCTTCTCCTACTATGATTGTACTAATTATTATCAAATTGTACCATGGTATCCAAACAAGGATTTTTCCTATTCAAAAAAATTGAGTGCGACTGTGCGTGCCTAACAACTGCCATTAATCCTGGCGGGTGTGCCTAACAGCCATCGTCCCTTGTCTCTCTCTCCAAAAAATTATGAGCGTGCTTAACATCCGTCATCTCTTATCCTCGTCTCTCCAACAAAATCAAGTGCGTGAATAAGGAACGAAAAAATTGTGTTTTTGGTGTGTTTTTTCTAGAGATCGCGATCACAGAAAGTGACAGAGAAGCCAAGAATGGTTCAGAAGGAGAAAAAGAGAAATTCCTCGCCCTCGCTCCAATCGCCAACATTCTTACCAGAAAAATCTGGATAAATGTACTTTCAAGTTTGTTCGTCATGCCACGAAGATCTGTCTTTCTACTTCTAAAATTTATCCTCAAAAAATTGCTTATGTCAGCTCCATTGCAGTACATGCATGTGCTCCGAGCTGCTCTTCGTTACCGATCATTAGCTTGTGGAGGATATTTTGAATAATAAGAAACAAATATTATTATTAATTACCTTCCTTATCCTATTATTTCCTTATTATATTATAATTTTTCCTCCTACTGTGATTGGAATTTTTTCTTGTAATCCCTATATAAAAGGGTGAAACCTTCATTATTCAGTAAGAGCAATTATTATAAAATTGTATCATATTGTATTAATATGTAATAAAAATATAATGTAATTAATGATTAAAGTTTGTCCACTTTCACTCAAAAAATCAAAATGAACAAATATTCTGAAATGAAAAGAGTCAAAAGTCTTGTTCGAAACAAATAGAATAGATTGTCTCTAATCACAGATGGTTTTCTATATTTAGTCTCCAATTTTAAGATAGTACATAAATGGTTCTCATTTTTTAAAACTAATCCATAATCAGTCCTTCAATGACTATTTGTGGAGAAAATATTATGTCATATTTTGTCTAAAGGACTATTTGTGGAATAGTTTATAAAATTGGGTATCATTTATGTAATATCTTAGAATTAGATATTAAATATGGAAAATCACCTGTAATTATAGGGATCATTTGCAAAATTTACTTTATATATATATATATATATATATATATATATATATATATATAAATTTTGGTTCTGGTGAGAATGCAATCTTAGGAGAGAAATGAGAATGAATCTGGTGCTTTAGATTGTAAGATTTAAGGGTCAAGATTTCATCAAAATTAGATGCACCAACATGGTGCGAAAATGCATCACATCGAAATGCACCATAA